CTCTTCCGGGGATGACTGAACACAAACACACATGCACACACTTCAGGCCACGACTACATATGTCTTTGCTCCTAACTGGAAGGAACTTCATGCTCAGTAGGTTTTAGTGAGATATATATACCAGCAACACTCAGAGACTCTAATGCACTGGTGGAAAAATAATGTGAAAGTAGTGCCTCTCTCCAAATTGGTTACAACTCCAAAAGAGGAAATTTCGTCTCATCCTTGATGAGTTGATAACCTGAATCATGAAGGATGGATGGCCTTTGTCATTTTACTTAACCTATTGTGAATATCGTTGCTAATACATACATATGTAACCAATCCCTTTTCCATAAAAACATCTGCCTCGGAGTGGACCTGTGGTAGCAAATTCCACAGGTTAACTCAATACTGTGTGCAGGAAAAAGCACTTCCCTTGATCGGTTTGGAAAACGTTGCTCTTGAATTTCAACACTCGTTCTTTTGTTCTTGCGTTATAGGCTGAGGCAAACAGGAGTAGTTAACTAGCTGACACTGCAACCATTGGTATTCTGTGTGCAGAACAGTCTTATCTCCCGTAATTCTTCTATCCAAGCCCAGGAGTCTAAGGAGGCTTTGTTGCTTACTCTTTGGCTTAATAGAAATTTCCCTTTGATGTCTCAAGGTCATTATCAGTGCCTGTGCCTGGACCTTTTGCATATTCTCTCTATTTTTTATGAGATGAAGTAATCAAAAGGGAACATAACATTGAGTGTAAGGGGATAGGACACATTATCTCAGTGGTTTTCAACCTGTGGCCCACAGACCCCTGGGGGTCACTACATCTAAGAGGTCTGTGAAAGATGACTATGATCAATCAAAAGTGTGTGAATACCCACTTACAATTCAAAGGAGTCTACACCTTGACTTGAAATTTCCAAGGGCGCCTGCACCTCCATTCAAAATTTTGTTGGGGTCTGCAAATGCAAAAAAGGTTGAAAACCACTGCATTCTCTCATTCCCAGTGATTGCAGACAATTTTACACTTAGAGATCCTGAAAAAGAGAAAGCCCAAAGAAAAGACCACTTACGGGCATTTGTCTATATTTTACTTAACTGGGACCTTCCAATGCTTTTGTTTTTGTTTTTTGCATTTTTAGAAACTATGAATATCCCGGTATTCCACTGACTGATGTAAGTTAGCTGTCTCATAGAGAACTGAAAATAAGTTACAAAGCAGTCCATGTGAAACCGTATTGCTCCGACAGGAACCACGAAGAGGAGTAATCCTCCTCCTGCTGCACAGGGAGGATTTGTAGCACTGGGGGGGGATCTTCATTGCAGTATTTTCAAACTTCAGTTGCAAACCGGCTGAGGCGAGCAGTCTAGTCTTGCTCCTCTCAGTTATTTGTCTACTCCAACTCAGTTCAGGACCCAGACTCTGGTCATCTAGGAAGTCCCAGCTCTCTCTCCAATCTTATCTGAATCTCCAATGCCTCGGTGTGCAACTGCTTGCCCCTGTACAGGAAGAGAGATCTAAGACATTCTCTATCCAGCTATTCAGATCTTCCCCATTTTTCCAGCTCCAGGAGATAAAGGCCTGTGGCCAGAGTGACACCGCACTGATACCACTGCATTAATACCCAGGTAGCAGGTGTAACAGAAATGCTTAATTTTAGCAAACTGGCTCCCATTGCTTTTCTCTTTGTACAGCACCTGCCTTATGCAATCAAAGCGATGCAATGGAAAATGATAGTAACTGAGGGTGTAATGAGAGAATAGATGCACTCTTGGCGGTGAAAGGCAGCCCTCGAGCCTGGCTCACTGCTGTACAGCCTAAAGCATCACTGTGCTTTCACGTCAGCTGCAATGTACCCAATCCAGCCACATCACCCCAGTCATTTTTGGCAAGCTTAACCGGTAACACAGACGTACCAGCCTGGAAAACACAGAGCCTTTGAACGAAGCATTTATAACTCAGAGCAACAAGGATAATCCAGTTCCAGCAACGAAACAGGAGGGAGGAGATTCAGGTTCAGATCTAGAGTCTGCCGGTCTGCAGCCTGTGCACCACAGACACGGACCTGCTCTGTATCAATTTATGCTGATCTGATTATTGGGATG